ATGTTTCATTTATATGCTGCCAGAAATGAATTCTCACAGCAAATATCTCTTCCTTCCTCCTTTATAAGCGTCTGTCTTTCTCTCTTCCATCCATCTTCACCTCCCCCTTTCTCTCTTTTCCTTTTCCTGCTCTTTTTCTGCAAACGTCCGTTTTCAATAATCTCTTTGCAATTTTTGGTTTCCGTAAACTTCGAAACGTTCTCCCGCAGACGAAGCGATGTCGACACATAATTAAATAATCTCACCATTTGCCATAGATAAGTTAAAATGATAATTTTCAGGGGAAAGCTTTCCGCTATCAGTTTTGATATTGACTCAAATCGTCCTGTTCACACTCCTCTCCGGTTTTTTGAACAGTTTACCTCTTGTTTGCTGTTTAGAATTGGGTTTCTGGTTTCTTCTAAAGTCTTCTCATTCTCTTTCACTCTCAATAGCCCCTTGCGTCTTAGTGGCATTATCGCCTTGCTTGGGGTGAATTGATTAAAAAAAAAATAAACGCCTGTATCCAATTGCTGTTTGATCACTAAGATATTCGGAGATGGATGTGGAATCTTTGGATAAATATATATTAAAAGAATCTATAAATTGTTACGAAACCAATTTTTATAGTACTGAACTAGTTTCATGCTTACAAGAATGACTTTGAGACCTTGAGATTTACGGCTCAATTTCCGAGTAGTTTTCACATATTGTTAGGTAAATCTGAAAAACACACTGTCACGCAGGTTCTCTCACAACCTATCACGGTAATTATCAAAAAGACAAAGTATTAATTATCAGAATTTCCATACTTTCAATAGACATCCCCAACCTGTCGAAACTTTTAGTTACGCTGTTAGAGAGGAATTCTTGTTTTAATGCATAATCAGTCTTTCGACCCTAGTCGGGATAATCGAGTCAATGTGAACGATCTTTTCCTTAGCTGCATATTATATACTTCTCCAGGGTTACATACAATTTTGAATACAGAGTTTCCTTCTTCTAAAACCGTTGCCACCCAAGACTATAAAACACAGTTTGTCTTACTATTTACCTATATCAGGAGGGGGGAAGTGTTGGATTCATACATTTCCAAAAGGTATTAGCCCGTAAGTGAACTAAACTAGAATTTGAACTCAGATCTTCAATTCCTCAATCCGAGCCACTATCCATTTCAATACTGTGCCTCAAAAATGTGCTCTCTGGCAGAATACGAACCTTTACTAGACAAACCACCATTTATTATGACTTGCTTTGGACACTCGGTTACGAAGAATATTGCAGTTAAATAAATGTTCAAAGTTGTTGTAACATATTCCTTGAGAAATTGTTCAGCTGCACAAATCAACTGACATAGTGCTACATACTTTGTAGATTATTCTGAACCCAGTTAAGTTCCTCAACTCTCTCTTCAGCTAATTGGTGTTCCTCTTGATAGGCTTCAATTGAAAGTTGCAATGCCCATCATGCTTTTCAGTAATCTCAACCTTCCAAATTTGAGCAATTGAACTCTAACAGCTTCTTCCTTATATCAAATATCTGAAATGAATAATCAAAAAGGATGTGTTTATTCAAGGAATCTTCCTAATTCCAAGAGACTTGCCTTTTTCAATTTCCAATGAGACTCAAGGTCGTCTTGACCATCAACAAAATTGTCGTTTTCGGCAATTCTTTTAGCCATTATCAAGGATGATTTTTATTTTTATTTTTAACTGAATGTATGGCTTTTTATACATCTATCTAGAGTTAGAGGAATTATAAACAAGATGAATTGTCTTCTAGAAACCCTGTAAAGAAATGGACGACCCCAGTCGACTAGAAGAATAAAATTAAATTAATTATCTTCTACAAAAACTCTACAATTTTTACACAATTTATGTCCAGAAAAAAATACTTTTACGAACACACAAAAAATAGCGGTTTATAACATGTTTTTGTTATAATTGCTTATATATATATATAACTTCCAAAGATCATATATATAGAATATAGATATATATATATATATATATATATATATATATATATATATATATATATATATATATATTCACAATGCAGTACAACTATCCAAATGTTAGGTGAATTTCTTTCGAATATGTTTCTTCGGGTCTGTATAAAACAATGTCAGAAAAGTACTACTCCCAAAGGGTTGCGTCAGATGTCTGTACTATATTCGGTTCATCGTCACTGGATAGTATTTAGTTTATATGAAAATTATTTCTTTTCGGTTCCTTGAAAGACAAGTGCGTGAGTGTTTCCGCTGGGGACGAAGTGCACATCAGATTCTTATCTCACTTGTTCGGTGTGGGTCGAACTGAATGCTTGGAATTTCGTTGCATAAAATTAAAACTCAGTTCCCCCGGGGACGGGAGGGAGGGAGGGAGGTCATGTCGTTACCGCAGCTCAAGATTCACCGCGCGCCCACCACCACCTCACAAGATAAAAAAAACTTGTTAGAATGCATGTTCTAACCCCACCACCCCCACCACACACACACACCGATACTTGGGCGCAGTTCTTCCCGTGTTGCTTTACAAAAAAATGGTTGTGTGAAAAAGACAGCAGCATCCTGGATAGAAAGAAAAAGACAAAGTTAATGCTATTTTCAGGTACTCAGTAAAGGTTGTTGCCTGTATACCTTGGCAGGAGCGGTAAAGAGGAAATGAATGCTATATATATATATATATATATATATATATATATATATATATATATATATATATATATATATATATATATATATATATATATATATATCTGCTATTTATGTACGTCCATTTCTCGACCGATTTCGATTAAATTGTACACACATGTTGCAAATTTACCAAAGACCAACTTTTCAATTTCACCCCCTCTCGAGTTTTGACAGAAAAATCGATAAAACTGAAGGTGGGTACGACGTTTTTGCAAAAACCAAGGCAAGGTTACACGCGAACAAAAATTTTTAATGCATGAGCTTATGTTCTTTGCACTTTATGCGAAACATATCTCATGTTACTAGGTTTATGTAGAGTACTTGATAGTTTTCCTGTGATATTGGCTTTGAAAAAAAATTGCAAAAAACTGTGAAAAAATAGGGTTTTTCATACTAGTTAAAATAAAAACTTCAATAACTTCCTTATTTTTTATCCAATTTTCTTCAAACATGTCGCAAAAAATTGCCATCATGCAAGAAATAACGAAAAAAAGCTCGTTTTTCGGCCATAATTCTCTAGTTTTTTTTTTTATCCGAAGCTTTTCAAATTTGGCATGGAAATTACATATGACACACAAACTGTCTTACTTGAATGTTTGGATTAGATTATTTCAGTTAGGTGGACGAAATCTGTGACAAACTAGGTCCCAAATTGGCTTTTGCCATTTAGCCAATAGTTTCTTCATATGATTCCATCCTAAATTGGCCTTCGAACAACCTTTGATGCAAAGATTGTTTGAGAAGGATTACTGAAGAGTTAAAAGGAAAAAATCCCCAAAGAACCTCTTATTAACCTCAGCTTTAAAGTAAACTTGCGAAGAAAGTGTGTGGGGGGGTGTTCGTGAGTTTGCACTTGCAGTTGAATCAAGATCTGACGCTTCATATATATATATATATATATATATATATATATATATATATATATATATATGTGTGTGTGTGTGTGTGTGTGAAAATATATAGAAAATAGGAAGGAACTGGTTAGGTAAAAAATCCAAAGTCCCTTAGTATTTTAGTTATTATTTTTAAAAATAGTGCTCGATACAAAAGTAGACCATAAATATAATTATTTATTTAAAAATATGATTCCAAATCGCTACATAAGAGGTCTCATGTTTCAAAACAAGAGCCGAAAACTTCAATATAATCCTTTAAATTAAATTGAGTTAAAATTAAAATGGGCTCCAAAGGATTATATTGAAGTTTTCGGCTCTTGTTTTGAAACATGAGACCTCTTATGTAGCGATTTGGAATCATATTTTTAAATAAATAATTATATATATATATATATATATATATATATATATATAATAATAATAATAAAATCAAATTAGAAATGTTCTTAGAAAAACCCTAAAGCAGTCTCGAGTCTGTTTTATTCTCATCACTTGTTATTTTATCTTATTTATAATTTTGTTTTGTTAGACATGTTCGGATTGTATGCTGCAATTTTAATACTAACGAAACATAAGCCTAGCTAGAGCAATGATGCTCTTATTTTCAAAACTCTTGTTTCGACATCTCTTTCAATTATCCCAGTATCCCCACCCTCCCACTTTTGAAAACCTCAAAAACTCCTGTTTCGAGATCGCCATTAGATGCCTCGTTTATTTATTTTTGGATTTTGTCGCTGTGAAGTTGCGAGAAAGGGTAATCTGAAGTGTAGATAGACTAACAGATCTAAGTGTGCGATAGTTCGCAAAATACTACTATTACTACGACAAGTTTTGCTACTGCTAATAATAATAATAATAATAATTTTAAATATCTGTTAGAGACAAAAATTATTTAATCCCTCTATCATTGTGAATGCGACAGTCATACGATACACAAGCACACTCAATACCTTATCACTGCCGACCGAGTAAACCCACTGGAGACTTTCTGTTCTATCGCGCACAATTATGACTCCGCTGATTTCTTGCCAATTTACATTAAAGGACAGACGTATGGTGCACCCTCTGTCTGTCAAATTCACTACATTAATTCAAATATACGCTCTTAAGTAGTCGCAGGAGGGCGTGATGTTAATTGACTTGATTCATCAGGGAGTTTCGGGCCTTTCAATATCATACACCCCATCACCAAGTCGACCCAATCAGGGCAGATCAATCCCTGATTCCCCCTCGCAATAAAACGATAGCAGATACTCTGGCCTTTTTAATGAATTAGACGAAAATAGACCACGTATTTCGCTCACCCGATTGGATATTTGTAACAAGCAATCCACTGCGAGAACTGCCATTTGAATGATCCACTGTGGGACTGGCTTCTTTCTTTTTCGGTGGATAGCAGTTTCAATGAATAACCGGAAAATTTAACG